TAAAAAAATTGCGGAACCGGAGCTTGGAGCAGAGAAGCCACCAGACGGGGACACACAGCAGGTCTGGCTGACTCCAAACCCAGGGCTTGCTCCGGGTCCAGGAGCGGCCTGCAGCCCAGCCCCTGCCTCCACTGTTCTGCCCCAGAGCTCGAGGACCCAGTCGGCGCATGAGCACTCACCCAGGCCAGCCGGCGGCCCCGCAGCCCTCAACCCCCAGGGCGGCGCCCCGAGCGCAGCGAAACGTCGCAGGCGGAGGTAGGTGACACTAAGGCGCACGATGGACGCCTTGTCCAGCTGGCTTGAGATGGCGCCGGGCAGCGGGAGCAGCTTGGCCAACTCGAAGAACTCCAGGTTCTCCTTCCCACGCCGCGAGCGCGCCGCGTTACGGGACTTCTCCTTGCGCTGCGCCTGCAGGCTGGGCAGGCGGCGCGGAGGAGGCGTCAGCGGGGCCCCGGATCGCGGGGGTGCAGGCCTGGGGGCGAGCCTGGTCTCCTGGGGCTTGGGGAACGTGACAGAATGGTGGGAGTGGATGCAAAGCTCTGGAGGTGGGGGCGGGCCTGAGTGCGAATTCTACGCCTAGTCCGTGGGTACGGAGCCTCAGGAGCAAATTCGGGGGGCTGGGGGAGAAGTGGGCGGGATGAAGAAGGTTGGGTATGAACTCTGAGGAAGCGGACTGGAAACCGCGCGCAGGGGTAAGGTGTGGAGCAATGTGAGCAGCTGGGGTCAGGAAGCCCCGCAGCCCCGGGAGGCGGGGCAGAGAGCGGGGTGTGATTCTCGGGGGATCCGGACAGGAGAGCGGGTGTAGGTTCTTCCCGGGACGCCTCCCTGGGGGCCAGGCGCGGCCAGAGGGCAGGGGCTTTGCTCACCAGGGTCCCGGCGGAGCCTTGACCATCAGCCCGGGAAGAAAGTCCCACGGGACGCTGGCGCCACGGCCTCCCCCGCACTTGACCTCGCCTCCGCCGCCACTGCCGGGGTAGGGGGCCGTCATCTCCACGGGGTCGCTCAGGCGGGCTCAGAGACCCGCGTCTCCTGCAGCAGAAACGAGCCAGAGGCGGCGCTCAATGCCCTCGGGGGTCCTCAGGAGACCTTTGGGGGAAACTGAGGTCCATGCAGGGCTCAGAGGTCCAGCAAGATCTGGGGCTGAGGGGAGCTTCGGTTGTCCCTTTCTGAAGGCCTGGTACAGAGGTTGCAGCTCCCACCCTGTCCTGCCGGGGCTGGCTCTGGGTGAGGACGTGCCCCG